GAGGAAGACCCCCAGTGAGATGGATTGATAAAGTGGCAGCATCAGTGGACTCAAGTGTGGCAACAGTAGTGAGGTTGGCCCAGGATCGGGCAGTGTTTCATTCTGCTGTGCATAAGGTCACTATGAGTCAGCACCAACTCAATGGCACCTAACAATAACAACCCTGCCTTAGACCAACAGTCATCATTACCTCCCAACCTTGTCCTGCGCCCATCTCCATGGGGCTCAAAGCACAATATTTTGCTTGAAAGGGGGCCTTGAGATGAACTGTGGTGCTGATAGGGCTTTAGGAAGGCTAGACTTGAATCTGATGACAACTTTCCAATCCGCAGCTGGTCATGGGGATGACACAGGACTGGGCAGTGTTTTGTTCCATTGTGGATGAAGTTGCCATCAGTGGGACTGACTAAAAAGCAGTTAACAACAACTACAGACTTGAACTGCCTTAAAATGTTGACCCACTCTTCTGCTAGTTTCACCATTAAACATAAAGAGGCACAACCCTTGGAAACAAGTATGTTCAACCAGTCAGCAGACCCCAAGATCAAAGTATCTGTGAATGTTAGTAGAGCCTGGAAGAGCTGTGCAGATTGAAAAACGGCTTCCTGTTCTAAATAAAAATCTCAAGTTCCTTCATTCACAGAGCCCTGGAGCTTACTAATTCCATGAGAAGATGAGCCTTTTTCCTTTAACTGAACTTTCAAGTTGACTGAAGATAAAAGGCTTGTCCAGGAGCCAATAGACAGAAACGTGTTGGAAGGGGAAATACATATTTAAAAATAAGGTAAATTAAAAAAGAAATGCTACTAAGGTTCCAGTGCATACATGCATGGGTTTATTCTGAATGAAACATGTTGAAATGCATCTGCAATTAGTGGATGACTACAGACAACTTCTCTCAAAAATACCCTTGTCTAAGTCTCAAGAAAAGAGCTCTGGTAGCGTAGTGGTTACGAATCGGGCTGCTAACCTCAGGGTCGGCAGTTCGTAACTACCATCTGCACTGCAGGAGAAAGATGAGGCTTTCTGCTCCCGTAAAGATTTACAGCCTTGGAAACCCTGTACAGGATCACTATGAGTTGGAACCGACTCCATGGCACATAACAACAAGTCTCATGAGGATGCCCTAAAAAACAAAGTGTCCCATCCAAACAGAGGCTTCTGAGGGGGGACTCCTGGACCAGTTCAATTCAAAGCCATCACTTCAGAAGGTGACCGATTGGGGGGATTCCAAACAGGTCATCTTGATAGATGTTCTCAAAAGATGTTCATGGAGACTTACATGGAAGGAGTATTAAGAAAACTGAAAATAGCGCTGGCAAGAAAAAGGCCAAGAAAATTGTTCTGAGCTTTGTGTGGTGTTTTGTTTGTTTTTTTTTTCCCTTCACAACAGTGCACCTGCTCATTCTTCAAGGGTAGACTATCCTACAAGAATGTCCTTGGGAAACCTGACCTCATTCTTCAAGGGTAGACTATCCTACAAGAATGTCCTTGGGAAACCTGACCTCATCCACTCTACAGCCCTAGTGTTGCCCCTTCAGACTTCTTTTTGTCCCCAAAACTCAATATTGAAAAGGGACATGCTTTTAGTCCCTCAAGGATGCCCAAACCACAGTTTTGACACGGTATAAATGCAAGAGTACAGAATATTTGGGGGAAGAGTTAGATGGAAACACCAGGGTCGGAACTGTATAAACCTAGATGGAGATGTACTGAGAAACAACTTCACATTTTGATACTTTTGTTTTAAAAAGATTTCTATGATTTTTTGATAGCAGTACATTTTGACTCATCTGTCAGTTTGTCATACTGCAATGGCTTTTGTGTTGCTGTGACGCTGGAAACTATGCCACTGGTAATTTATCAGCAGAGCTTCCAGACTGAGACAGACTAGGGGAGAAGGCGAGCCCTCTGAATGGTGAGCCAATGAAAACCTATGAAGAGCAGCAGAACATTGTCTGTAGTACTGGAAGATGAACCCCTAAAGTTAGAAGACACTCAAAATATGACTCGAGAAGAGCTGCCTCCTCAAAGTTGACCTCAATGACATGAATGGAATACAGCTTTTGAGATCTTCCTTTGCTGATGGGGCACAACGCAAAAG